GCAGGTCCACATCCTTCCGAGACCCAGGGGCCTGTCCTCCCCGGCTGGCTTCCTACCACCACGGTGTTTAAGTCCCGGTGTTAGAGCTATCGCCACTAAAAAAAAACATCAGAGCGGCTATCGTTTAAGTGATGGAAGTTTGGGAATTCCTCAGAGGAAGGATGACTGGCGAGTCAAAGAGCCGAGGGGAGAGGGGGAGAGCGGAGAAAAGTGGATGTCTAATCCCACCGCTCCCTATCCCTACCCTCTGACCTGTGCTGGGTGCTCAGTCTCTTACATCCCTCCCCTCCCCTCCCCTCCCCTCCACAGAGACCCCGAGGCCTTCCAAGCGGCTCTGGCTCAGGGGACCTGCCCCCTACAGGGAGCTGTCCGGGTGGCACTGAGGCTCCCCTGTGACTGAACACAGAAATGGAAAAGGAAATATGAAGTTGCAGAGATTGGTGTCTTCAGCTCTAAAATAGCATCTTGCATGATTAGCTATGGTTTTTTGTTTTTGTTTTTTTTTTCCAGTCAAGAGTCATTGATTCCCTGATTTCTTTCTTTTCTGTGTGTGTATGAGGGGGAGGAGGGTGCACACGCTTTGGCAGCCCGGAGCGGTGGGTGGAGGGGGTCTGTCTGTCCCCCGGTTTGGGAAGCTCTCAGGACGCAGTGGCCCCTCCTCCAAGCGTCTCCAGGCCAGTGGCCTCACAGGACTGTTTCTCCCCGCGGCCGGGCCACCAGATGCCCAGGCCGCCCAGGCTGCCGTGATGGGGCCGCACATGGACCGCTTTGTCTGCCTCGGCCACAGGCCCTGCCTCCTGAGCAGCCTGGGTCCTCCCAGGCTCACCACCCGCTGAGCTGTTTTCCACATCACTTCCCCCCGCTGGGCCTGTGAGCCGGCTACTCCCAGGACCAATCGCCAGCGGCTGAGTCAGAGCCGTCAGCATCTGGCTCTAATTCCTCATATTAAAAGCAAACGTGGCCGGTTTTATTACTTGGAGTTCAACTTTAACTTGGGAAAAGTTCAGTGTCTCGGTGACCAGTTCCCCGTAGGAGGACGCCCGTCATTTCAGTCCCGGCAGCATCCTCGCCGTGGGCTGAGGACTCTCACCTGCAGCCCCAGGAACGAATCAAACCCTTGCTGTGCTGCTTAACCCGAAGTGGGAAGTTCTAGGAAACAGAGTCCGTGCCCTTTGCATTTCTAAAGGAATTCCCCATCAGGCGTTCCTCACCCCTCCTGGGGACTGGGTGCCTGACCCTCCTCCATCTGAGGTCCGGGACAGCAGTCACCTGCTCCATGGACACTGATTCTGCACAGCCACCACATTGCATTCAGTATCCCTGTGGGGGCTGGAAGGACGGGGGTACAAGGTGGAAACTTGGGGCCTGAACACCCACATGCTCAGCACACAGGGTAGGCAGGGCTCAGGTGGAGGCAGGGGGATCACTGATTGTGTGTACCCCCTTCTTCCCCTCCCCCCTCCTCCTCCCTCTCGCTCGCTCTTCGAGAGCAGCCCTTCCCCTATGCCCGGGCCACTGCCCTCTTCGCCATTGGCACACCTGTCACAGCCTTTGGAACGGAAACAATACTGTTTCACAAAAAAAGAATCAATCCGATGTGGCCTTGGGGATGTGTCTAGTTTGGATGACAGCTACAAGGAGGACTGGGACATGGGCTCCCAGGATGAGGCTCTGGGGGGCAAGAGGGGACGGGGCCCTGAGGCCCAGGCGGACAGAGCAGCCTCGGAGGTGGACGCAGGCCTGAAGGGAGACGCAACATGAGAAAGCTGTGGCTCTGAGTCGCAGGCAATGCCACAGCATCCTTCACCCACGGAGCTGAGCTCCCACCCAAGAACACAGGAACACCGGGGACGTGCTCAGGGGACGCCACGGGAGCTGGCACCTGAGCGAGAGGGTCGGGGCGCCGGCAGGAGGAGGGGGAAGGCCGGGCACCTGGAGACAGGACCAGGCAGGTTAGCAGTCACTCCAGGTGTGAAAAGCTGCCAGTTCTCCTCGGCCCCCTGAGGAGGCTGGGGTTCCAGAATGGACCTCCCAGGGCAACGCCGGCCAGGCAGGCAGTGATGAGCAAGCGTGGCCCTCGCCCTCACACTCCATCTCCAGACAGATGTGGCCGGGCCGCGGCGAGCTGGAAACCGTTTCATCATCACCTGCGTGAAGTCCCAGGGCCCCACTGGCAGCGATCTGTTTAAATGCCAACGCCATTCATCTTGAAGGAGAAAACAAACCCTCTCGGCAGTATTAGTCTTCGTGATTATAGGACGCGCCGTCATTTTTTTAAAACCAAATAAGGAAAGGCCATTAAGAAAAACTGGATTTGCTATCATGTGCCTGGCCTGGGTCTCTGAGAACGTCTCGCCACCATCTGTAAGAGCTGCTGGTTGGTGAGCAGCCATGTCACCGCCATGATGTATGGCGCAATAACACACCCAGCTGGCAGGACACATTTTGGGGATTCAGGGCCTGTAACTTAGATCAAAAAAAATTTACCAAGATAGATAGCATGAGAGGGAGAAAGAAGGAGGTTTTGATAAGATGCTACGAATTCAGTGTTTTGTATTGCTTTTTCTTTTCTTTTTTTCCTTCAAATGGTTAGGAAAGTAGGGGCCTGTGCCACAGGAAGCTAACAACACACAGGCGAGATCCCTGTGAAGGTTAGGAACCCCCAGACCTGGGCTGCCCTGTGTTCCAGCCCCTCCCTCGCTCCCCAAACCCTAGCCTGGAGTTCAACACTCATCACTGAGCCACACCAGCTGAGCTGCGTGTAGCTTGTTTTAACAGATGAGAGTCTGAGAGGTTCGATGGCTTGTCCAAGGTCACCCAACTGCTGGCGACAGGGCTGGGAAGTGAAAGGGGTCTGCCAGGGTTCACGTTCTGGGCCTGACGGTCTCTGAATGACGTGCCTTTCCTCAATCCACCGTCACCCTGTTTACGGAGACGCTGTGGGTGATAAAGACTTCCCCAGAAGAGTGGCCCCCGGGGCTCCCAGGTGGGCGGTCTGCTCCTCATCTGGTGTGTGTGCGTGTGCACATGTGTGTCTGGGGCGGGGGGCGGTAATATCGTTTTCATCATCCGAGTGCCTTCCACACCTGCCGTGATGAGCGCCCTGGAAGGCAGAGCCCATCGGAGATGCTGAGGCCCGGAGGCTGCCGGGAATAGCAAGTGTCTGAGCCACCAAGTGGGCCCTTCAGAGCCTCTCGTCAGAGCGGCGGGGCCCGGTCTCATTCATTATTAACTGCCGGCGACCTAAATAAATCATGGGGTTATCCTTCATTTAGACGCCGCGTGTCACGCACGGTGCTCACCACAGCCCGTCAGTGGCCTGAGCACCGAGGAGGAGAGAGACTGTCTCTCAGTGTACTTCCCGCCCCGTGAGGACGCGGAATGCCCACAGCCCCCACCATCACCAGCTAGGACGCCGGTCCCCGCCCATCACCAGCGCTCTGTGACCCTCCGTCACTGTGACCCACCGTCGCCAAGAAGATCCCAACTGGCCCTGCTTAACCCCGGCAATTAAAAGGTCTCTTCTTAACGACAACTTCCTGTCACTTAGTGTCTACCTGTGACTGGGAAACACTCGTCCGGTTATTGTTGGACATTTACCAAAGAACTCTGTTTTGCCGATCGCTCAGTGACATCAATTACCACCAATTGCACATTTGTTAAAATAAATGCTGTCTTTGCTGCTACGCTCAAAAGCCCTTCATGGCCGCAGATCTGTGTCAGCCCAGCAACCCATCACCCCAGTCAACGCTTCCCTGGGACCACGGAGCCCCGGCAGGTGCAGAATCTGGTACTCGGAGAACCGGTGCCATTGAGCTCACTCTGCTTGCGTTTCTGACTTTCTGAGATCAAAGAACGGCCGCAAAGGCGGGGAAGGCAGCCCTCAGCCAGCTGTACCTGTCTCCTTTTTTTAAATGGAAAGGTGCTATCCTTCTCCATGCTCAGGGTGTGCTCATCTGCATATTCCTCAAATTTCAGGAAATAATGAGCTGGGCTTTGTGTTTGATGTCCATCATTGTGAGGGGAATGATAACAGTCCAGAGGGGCCCAGGGCCAGGTTTTCAATGACGCATGCCCTGCCCTGCTTGTCTGACAGCTGAGCGGCCCCTGCAGCTAACAGCTCAGTGGATGCTCTAAACACTCATCCCTGAAATGCGCTCCGGGCCGAAGAGCTGGCCCCGGACAAAGCTTCCTGATGCGGAGGCCAGGATTGGATGCGAGTGGGGACACGCTCCCCCTGCAGCCGAGCTGCACTGCTCGAACCGCCTGTTTGCCTGCCGACCTGGGCATCACCTTTGCAGGACAGAACAGGGCACACTGGCATGGCGGCCTCAGCCCTGGCACCGAGACCAGTCATCTCCTGCCAGAAGCTACGCATTCAGTTGAAACAGACCCCGAGGTGGCCCGGCACTGGCCTTAGGGTCTTCACTGCACCTGTGTGCCTTCCAAGAGAAAAGACAGTTCCAGTTGCTAAATCTGGTCCAGTTGAGGGTAGGAAAGGAGGAGGGAGAGACAGAAAGACCGACTACACTACCCATCGCATGTGGCCAAATTGTACAGTTGTGAAGTCTCAACAGCGAAGCTGGAATAGGCCGCCTGCTGGGGCCTGGGGCAGAGCGGCAGCCCCTCCGTGTTTAGGAAACAGAAGCAGCAGCTTCGGTTATTTTGGAGTGACTCCTCAGCTGCCAGTCCGAGCCACAAGGAATATCTGAGGTGGAGACCGGGCCACGTGGGCCTTCTGCCGGCTGCCTGTGACTGCACCGACGAGAAGCCAGCACACATGCTGCCCGCTGCCTTAGCCCGTTGCCGAGAAGCATGGGCAGGGAGCAGGAGAGGGCACAGCTGGGGAGGCAAGGATGCCAGCACGGCTTCTGCCCCGCCCAAATGCTCATCTGCTCTGAGTGGACAGACTGACGGGGTCCGTCCTTACACCGGACTATGACTCAGCCGCCAACGGGAAGGAAGCGCTGGCACTCACTGCAAACCTTGGAAGCGTGACGCTCAGGGAGGCCACGTACCGCAGGATCCCATTTATGTGAAATGTCCAGAACGGGAGGCATTCTCCAGACAGAGAGCAGAGGAGTGGTTGGCTAGGGCCCCATAGGGCGGGGGGAGGGGGGAGAGTGATGAGGGCTACGGGGCGGAGAGTTTGTCTTTGGAGCAATGAAAATAGTCTAAAATGGGCCTGGTGATGTTGACACATGCCCGTGAATGTACTTAACGCCATCGAATTGGACACTTTAAACTCATAAACGGCGTGGCATGAACATGATATAAGTAGATAAAAGCTTTTACGAGAGAAAAATGTGCATGTGTATAACTTGCTACAATAAGGCCGTGGCAGTCGAGGAGAGAATGGGGTGATCACGGCCGAGCCTGTCCCCGGAGCGGCGCCGTGTGAATATTAAGTGTGTTGCTCGGCTTGGTGGCCTTCCAGCTCCGAGGAGAGTCATTCTTCCTGTCGGAGCGGAGGAAAAATGCCGTGTCACCGGGGGAGCGTCGCTGTGTCCTCGTGCTGAGTACGAAGATGAATCGCGGGCCGTACGCCGGGCACCGTCAACAAGAGCAGCTCCCAGAGGAGACGGCCGTCTGTGTCCTCCGTTGACCTTGGCCTGTTGGGCAGGAACCTACCGCGTGAAGCTGGTCCCACTTCTGTTCCGGGATGAGCGGGCCAGCCATCCAGTGTGCCTGGGTCTCTCAACACTGGTCTGAGGTGAGAAGCCCTCAATGTGGGGGTGACACTCAGCCAACATGCCTGCAGGGTCTTCAGGGCTTGGGAGACATGAGGGAGGCCAGGGGCCCTGTGCCTGTAATCACAGCCCCAGCAGGCATGGGAGCTCCTGCCTCTCCCCAAGATGGGGACAGACCAGGCCCACAACTCCTGACACAGGAGACATCTTGGCCCAGAGATTTCATGTGGACACGCCGCGTGGATTCCCCTGGTTTGCATCATAGAAGGAACATGCAAGCTGATTTTCCCTCCCTCGGGGTGGAAATTCATGACTGACCTTCAGGAGAAAAGAGAAGACAGAAGGATGAAGATTGAGAAAGCTGATTTATGTACAATACTGTTGCTTCACTGATTGGGGCTAACTTAAAAAGAAAAGAAAAATCCCAGGTGGTGTAGCTCAGTGGTTGATCATCGACCCATGAACCAAGAGATCACTGGTTAGATTCCTGGTCAGGGCACATTCCCCAGTCATGGGCTCCATCCAGGAGGTAGCCAATCAATAATGTTTCCTTCAATGTTTCCATCTCTTTCTCCCTTTCCCTTCCTTTCTCTCTCAAAAAAAATTTCTTTAAATAAAAACATTTTTTAAAAGAAAAAGAAAAGCTATTGTCATTTTTATCCACATTCACAGTTGAGATCCATACTTATTGTGAAGTTCCTTGAGACAAAAGCCTTCTCAGGAGCTGGGGCGATGTTCCCGTAACCACAGGATACATCGTCAAAGCACACTCCATCTCCTGAATCAGCAACTTTGAACCCCGGGTTCTAACCTCCTTTGTCTCCAGCCCTTCAGAGCCCCAGGCTCCATACGCTGCGTCTGGAGATGCCCGGGGCCAGGCTGGGCTTCCGGAGCCAAAGCGCACCATGGGGAGGGTGGTGCTGGGAGGGTGTCTGCATCCGTGCATGGTGTGCTGCTGGAACGTAATAACCCAGTCTGCTTGTAAGCTCTCTAAAAAGAAGCAATGTTGCCTTAAGTAAGAGAGAGGATGGAATTAGGAAACAGCTGATACCATACAAGGGATAGCTGGACCTTCGGTGCTGCAGGGGTGGGGCGTGATGGAGGAAAGTGACTGGTCATCACGCCTCACGATGAATGCCTTCCCGCGGCCTGGACGTCTGGTCTGTCCCCCTCCGAGGGCTGTTAATAGTGGCTCGGCCCCAACTCTCAGACACAAATAATAGCAGGTTTCCGATTTAAAGGGATAATCTCCCTTCAGAAGCAAAGGAGTAAGCATGGGGAGTAATTCTCAAAGCGTCTGGGATACAAAGGCTTATTCCAGCTCCCCGTAAGCGAGTGTCGGCAGCTTTGATGAACAATTTAAAAACAGAAGCCGGGGGTGCGGGGAGACGTTGTAAGACATGGGCTTTTGTCCATAGTTTTTCTACTATCGCTGCTTTTCCGAAATGCCGTCATTAACATAAAACATTATTTCAATTAGTTTCCTGTGAACCCCCAAGTCATGTTCAATACACTTTTACTGATTTAGAAAATACAAATGGGGCACTGGGAAGAAAAACGTGGTTACTGAGAAAAACAGCAAATATCTTTAGGCCTCAGGATGTGAAGACTTCCTCTTGTTGTCATTTTGAATCAGGAAACGTATCGATCTGTGGTGAGTCCAGCAGAAGTATTAGGACTATCATCTGATCCAACCTGTACTCACAGAGATTCACTTAATAAAATGTCTAAGGAGAGAGGGACTGCCTGCTGGTGCCCAGCACTAATTCAACATTAATATAATTGAAATTTCTGAGCCATTACCTAAAATGGCTCCTCATTTCCACCCTTCATAAAGAATCCGATCGTCCCAGACACAATCTGAGCAGGAAAACGGGACTCGAAGGAGACTGGACTGGAATGAACGGGCCTTCGACAGGTTTCCTTGAGCCTCCGGCAACTCCCAGGGAGAGAGGGGGTCTCTCTGAGCATGGTGTGGAGAAAGGGGCCTCGTGGTCTCTGCAGGAATGCATGACTTGCACCTGAAAGATCTCCACGGGAATACTTCCTGATGTGTTTTTCCACTTGTTATCAAGCCTGTCCCTAAGCAGGCTGTGTGTCCTATATTAATAATCATCAAGCAGGTTTCCCTGCCCGAGGCATTATCAGTTTGATTTATATTTGTGATTCTACGCACGATCCAGTAGGTCTTCATAACCAAGGTTCCGTTACTTCCCTCACTGTCAGCTCTGAGGAGCGCAGGAAGGCGTGCACGTGGGGAGGGTGTGGGGAGCACCTGGGATTGGTAACACCCTTCCCGTGTGCAGCTTCGTTCCTGCGGTTCCCCCCACAAACCTGAGGGTGTGGTCCCATTGCCGGTCTGTCACCAGAGACAACCGAGGCTGCAGGACCGCTCCAGGGTCACGGAGGAAGTGAGTCCCGAGCCTGGATTGGGCGCCAAGGGAGGTGGTGCTTTGTCCACAACAATTACAGGTTCATCGCACATGTTTGAGCATGTGCACGTCCCATCGCTGGGCTGTGTGCCGTGCTCATGACCTCCTGAGGCCCTCCGAAGGCCAGGGTTGGCCGTGCCTTCAAGGCACCCGGCACACAGAGGAGATAGCGGGCAGGAGAGAAGCAGCACAACCGCGGCAGGCAGCCGAGGCGGGGAGTCCAGATTCCTGCCGGAGCGCCTGGCTGCAGAGCCAGCTTCTCAGCGCTGACACCAGCCTTGGGCTCTGGCCCAGGTTCACTTGAGGGAGAGGCTCCTGGCCTCAGAATCATCCCAGATGTCCCGGGAAGGATGTGCAGTCCTGGGGCAGAGGAGAGGGCGGGGCAGAGGGATAGTGGAGGGGCGTTTCAGCACCACGGAGAGCTGCCTGCAGCCTGAGGTGGTGCTTGCAGAGCTCAACCAAGCAGCCCGGACCTGGACCAGGGCAAGTCTGAATCCTCAGCATCCGGACTACAGATGCTCTGTTCTCTGGAGCTCAGCTGGGTGCTGTCTCTGCCCTCCATTCCTCCACTCAAGGGCCTCCACTCAAGGGCATACAGCATCCAATGGCTGTTACTTGTTTTCGTGAGCCGGTTCTTAAATCTCGTTCTAAACCAGAGCTAACCTTCCTGCTAAACACAACCTCACATGTCAGAGCAACCTCACATGCCTCCCAGGGACTTAGTTAACACTCAGGCTGGTGAGCAGGAGAAGCCCACCATGTGTACGCGTGGGGTCGTCTGCACTGAATTTTAAAGGCACAGAGCGCTAGATGCACGTGGTCTCTGAGGAGGTACTTGTGCTCCCCAACAGACAGCTGTTCCCAGGGGCCTGGCCCAAAGCTGGACCCTCCCAGCTTCCTCGGCTCTTCCTCAAAGGCTCCTCCTGAGAACAGCCATGTGTCTGTCAATGGCCCGAAACTGAGAGATGAGCATTCCTGCTCTCATTCAAACGGCCACAGAAATGGGCCTCGGCGCTGCCTGCTTTCCCTCAGTTCCCCGACTCTCTTTGTGGTTTGTGCACAGAGAGGAATCGTGCATGCTCTCTTCAAAGCGGAGTTGGACGCCAGCTCCCTGACAGTATCCTGAGCTCCTCGCCTTCCGGTCGAATGCATGCAAGCTGAGGTCATGTGGCTTCATTTCGTTCTCTCGCCTCTACGAAGACAATCTCTAGGAATCTTCCACTCCGGTTCACAGCAAAGATGAAAGGCCCTTGGTTTTTGACAGGCTGGCATGGTGAGCTCAGGCTCTGAGGCGTCCCTTTTGCTCCAAAAACATAGCAATAATAGATGAAATCTCTTTTTTAAAAAGAAGAAGAAAATAGAAAGACGGTTCTGAGCTCAGAAGGGAGCTAAGTCCTGCTCTGTAAACCAGGAGCCGCAGAAACGCTGAGCAGTGAGGAGGCTGAGACCCTAGAAGCTTGCCTTGTACAGGCCAACAGGCCTTAAAAATGCTTCATGGGGAAAGGAGCAGCCAGGGTCAGGCTATTGGTGTGCAAGCCAGCGTGTGGAACTGGGGTCTTGATGCTTGTGCAACCTGAACATGGCAGCCCTGCTGAAGGCTGCCTGAGGCCACAGCGAAGGGCCAGCCGAGGTGCGAAGAGGCGGGAAGACACGGAGCTTCCGAGGGCCGGGTACTAGGGAAAGTGCTCCCTCGTGTGGTGGTGGGCCTGTATCACCTCCGGCTGGGGCCCTGCATCACGTGTTAGAGACCTGGTTCTGACTCAGAGGCCACCCCCACACAGCTGGAGGGGTAAACACAGAACAGGAGGGAAAGAGCAAAACAACAAGACCAACCGAACGAAAGCCTCTTCCCTAACCCGAAAGGCAGACTGTGTGAGGAATGCTGAGGCTTAGGGATACAGTGCCCCATAAGTAATGTGTAAAATAACTTATTCTAAAAGTGCTTCATAGTAATTATAGAAGCTCCGCATGGCAAAAGAAACTGACAACAAAACAAAGATGCAGCCAACCAGATGGGAGATGATATTTGCAAACAGTAGCTCCGACAAAGGTTTAATTTCCAAAAAATATAAAGAACTCATAAAACTCAACACCAAACAAATGAACTGCCCAATCAAACAGTGGGCAGAGGACCTGAAAATACACCTCCCAAGAAGGCATACCAACAGCCAACATATATATGAAGAGATGTCCAACCTCACTGGCAATCAGGGAAATGCAAAGTAAAACTACAATGACATACCACCTCACACCTGTTCCAGTGGCCATTATCAACAAGACAAGCAACAACAAGCATTGGAGAGGCTGTGGGGAAAAAAAGGGAACCCTCATTCACTGCTGGTGGGAATGCATACTGGTACAACCGCTATGGAAAACAGTCTGGCGATTCCTCAAACAATTAAGAATAGAGCTACCATGTGACCCTTCAATCCCTCTCCTGGGTATGTCCCTGAAAAATTTGAAATCATGTATTTCCAAAGATACACGCACCCCTATATTCATTGCAGCATTCTTCATGGTGGCTAAGACATGGAAACAATCAGAGTGTCCCAAGACAGAGAAAAATGGCTAAAGAAGATGTGGGAGATACACACAATGGAAAACTTCTCAGCCATGAGAAAGGATGAAGTGGCACCTTTTGCAACAACATGGGTGGACCTTGAGAACATTAAGTGACGTGAAATAAGTTGGTCAGGAAGAGCTAACAACCATATGAGTTCACCCAGATGTAGGATATAAAACAGACTCAGGAACACAAACATCAGTGTGAGGGCTGCCAGAGGGAAAGGGGTCCTAATACATGGTGGCAGGATCAGACGTGGCTCTGGGTCGTGGACACAGTGCAATAGACAGGTCTTGTACCATAGAGACCCACACCTGAAGCCTATGTGTTCATGTTGACCAATGCCACCCCAGTTTAATAAGTAAATATTTTTAAAATAATAATTATTCTTCTAGTTAGGGTGCTCAACAAGATAAATGAAGATATTCGGTGTGCCTTGAGAATTAAACAAGAAAGAAATGAAACATGATCAAATGGGAATAAAATGAGCCAATGATAAATCTTGGGAATAAATATGTCAATTAAATTAGAATTGCAATTGATTTATTCACCAGGAAGTGCCAGTGATGCTGACCCTGCAGAAGACCAGTGTTGCCTTTCCTTCAGGACCTCGCTCCTGACAACAGGGCTCCTGGCGGGGGTGGAGGCGGCTGACAGGCACAACAGGCCCGCGGAAGGTGCTGCTCAGGCGTGCTCACGAGGCTGCTGCCCAGACTGTTGCCATCTGGCTGAGCCCCTGTGGCTGGGCATGGCTCAGCCAGAATTCCTTCCGCGACAACACAGCTCCTTTTCCATCACAGACTCAAGTCCATTCGAGCTGATCACGCTCCTGGAGGTCATCGGGTCACTTTCCCATTGGCCCTGGACTCCTCGGTCTGGAGGGGAGGGCTCCCCATCATCTGGAAGAACCCCCAGAGGGATTATGGGGTCACCCGAGCAACGGTGTCACCACGTTGTCTGTGGGGTTCTTATCACCTCAGATGCCAGTGACTGATCGCCCACTGAACAAATGAATGAGCAAACCACATCCTTGCATTGGCGCCGTCCAACCCGCACTGGTACCGCCGTGCATTCTAATCCGGGCCCGGAACCCGAGACATTACAAGGCTCTCAGAGTCCGACTGCCCACATAGCGGAGGCACTAGATAATTGGGAAAGTGAGGATCTTAGCATTAGGCAGGGCCCTCGTCAGACCGAGTGAGTGAGAGGAAAGGGCAGAACTCCTTAAAATTAATGAGCTTGCCCTTTAAGAAGGTTCTCTGTGGTCAGCATTCCTGCAGGGCGGTGAGGTGAGGGCGGAACCAGAGTCATGAGGTGCGGGCACTATGAGTGCCACCCCCGCCTGAGGATGGACCGCTGACAGCTGTGTGCCCACACGGCTCCGGGCTGCCTGCTCGGACTTGCGTGTGAATGACACACAGCCGAGATCAGCAGAACCTGTGACCTGGCCGTCAGCGTGCCAGGGTTCCGGGGTCTGAACGCACAGCCCCTTTGAGGTCTCACCTTCATGGGGCAGAGGTCAAGGCCAGGAGTGTGTTTTCAAACTCCCAGACCCATTCTGATACGAACATATAAACTTGCAAAATGCAAATGAGAACAGACTCTCGGAAAGGTCTCTCAGCACCACTTAGCTTGGAGGTTACAAGCTCTGCAGGTTTTAGAGTTCTGTGGGGAATTGGCCAGAGCCTTCCCACATTAATTCAATGGAGCCAACAGGAACTCCTTCATAACTGGAGGGACAGCAGCTCCCAGGACCCACGCTCCAAGGAGCATCTTTGCGGGAGGTCTGGAGGAGGGCAGGTCCCCTCTGAGCGTGAGGAGAGACCCGGGGTGCGGGAGTCTTGCATTCAGGCCCCTGCTCTGTGGCTGGCCCAGACACCCCTTGTTCCTGCAGCTGATCCTCAGCCATGACTCGGCTCCCTCTGTCCAAGCTGAGTCACGGGGTCCTTAGCGCCCAGCCCCTCCCCTCTGTCCAAAGTGAAAGCTCCGGGAGCCACGGGAGGGCAGACGCCTTTGAAGTGAGTGGGCCTCTCTGCTCCCACCTCCACTCTGAGCAGCACGGTCCTGGGACCTGGGGGAACTGCTCACAGAGCATCTTCAGCAGACCCACCTGTCTTGTCAGAGTAGCCAGGCCCATGTTCCTTTGCGGAGCCCGTGTTGGTATCCATCTAATCCACAGCCGTTTCCTCCTGTGACCGGAGCTTGCTGTTGCAGAAAAAAATCCATGCAGAAATGGCTGGCAGGAGCGAGGAGCCATGGCCAGGACACGTGTGCTCAGACACGCCGGTGCCGGCGGCTCCTGGGGCTCGGGATCTAGGGACCGAGCGAGAGACGGCGCTCCTGTCTAGGAAGCTAGCTCCAGCGGCTCAGTACATAAACCTCATTTCAGTTGACTACAGTCCTAATAACTCCCGAGGTTAAGTGCTTATAGAATTCACTGCCGCATTTCCTGCCCTCGGAGAATGCTGATCCCTGCAGATCCGGGACCGGCGTGCTTAGTCTCTACAGAGATGCTGGAATGCACCCTCTCCTCCCCGTGGCCAGGCCGGGGGTCCTCGATAGTCTGTGGAGCTCCGGAATCACGCTCAGTGACAGTGGCTGTGCAGAGGATGTGTGCTCATCACTGTCTCACTGGCCGATGCAGAAGGACAGAGCTAGAGGCTGGGACAGAGTGAGTGCCGAAGCATCGCCTCTTACAAGGGCAATAATCCCACCTCCGGGCCCCACCCTCACCACCTCTTCTAACCCGAATCACCTGTCGAAGGCCCCACCACCATCACCCTGAGGGTCTGGGCTTCAACCTATGAGGTTTGGGGACACAGTCGTTCAGCCCACACAGTGAGGAGAGACATTTCAGGCAGGGGAACTGCGCCTGCAAGTCCCTGAGGCAGGTTTTCTGAGAGGAGGTGGGACAGCCTGCAGGGCTTTATGAGGTGATGGGAGGAAGGCTGGAAGGAGCTGGAGGTGGGGAGGGTTCCAGGTCACCTGGGCCTTGGGGCCTTGAAGTTGGAGGGCTTTATTCTGAAGGCAGCGCGAGTCCATGCCGGTACATGTAGGACATGGAAGGAGTTGTGTGTGAAGGATCGCAGTAGCTGCCATGTCAATAAAGGGTTATAAGTGGACCTGGGGGGTGATGAAGGTGCCCAGGTCACAGAGGACGGTGCTGTGGGCCAGGGACTCAGAGGTGGAGTGGGGTCAGATGGGAGGGGCAGGTTCCGAGGTACCTGTGACTGGTTTGGGCGTGGGGAGGACCGTGAGATGGGGATGAGGGGACACCGTGTGGCCATGCTGGTTCCTCAGATGGCAGCTGCTGGGGGCAGGAGCCTGGTGTGCCCACATGCCCGGTGCAGCCAATGGCAGGCACTCCAACCACAGTGGCTGAGTGTTAGACGAAATGTAAGTCACTGAGCAGGTGTTCAAACACAGATCCAACCACGTACACGTGGAGGTACAATTGGCTTTATTTATAACGGCAGCCAGGCAGCTGCTGACCCAGCCATGGAAGGTGCTTCCGGGGGTGGTACAAGGGAAGGTTTAAATGGAAGAGGGGAAGGGGAGCTGATAACAAAGAAAGGAAACTTACTTTGGTCCTGGACACCTTTCCTTTGGGGGACGAGAAAAGGGAGGGTTTTAGCACACAGACTTCCTCTTCCTCCTGTGGGGGGGAGGGACAGTGCCCCTGTGACAGGTGAAACCACAGCTACCACGTCCCTGCTTCTGCCTATGGGCTGTGAATCCATTCACACACATACACACACACACACACACACACACACACCCAAGTGGGCGATTCCATCTGCAGTTTGATGATGGGGACGCGTCGGGCACAGAGCTTGGTAGCCGGCCCCTCGTCTGCCTGCCTGGGCCTGCACCGCACCATCTGGTGAGAGCCGTCAGGATGCCCCTCAACCCCAACAGCCTGGTTCCTGGTAAACGGAAACCACGCAGCTTCGTCACGGCCACCGGGCCGATCACAGACCATGGTCCACTAGGGGTGTCGAACTCAATCAGAGAAGGGGCCAAAATCTAAAATCCAGCCTAAATCGCAGGCCGAATGGTTTACTGAACAGTCATAAACTGTCATTGTGATGGAAACGCAGCGGAGTGCAGTGATAACAGCGCGGTGCGGGCCACATTGCAAGGCCTGGCGGGACGGATTTGGCCCGCGGGCCTTGTGTTTGACACATGTGGTCCAGGCGAAGCCTCGCCTGGACCGGCCCCGGCCAGGCACCCCTTACTCCGCCTGCGCCTCCTCCGGGCCAGAGCTCCTTCCTCCCCGAGGAGGGGCCGAGTGACCGGGACCTGGAACTCCAGTCCCGCGAATACACCGGGCTCTGACCGGCAGCCCGCAGCAGGCTGCTCTCCGTGGTGCCGGGAGGCAGGTGGGCTCTGCCGGCTGAGCTCTGCGTGTTGCTCCTGTCCGTCCTGCAGATGCCAGGGACCAGCTCCATCCAGCCTGTGGATCTGAAGTTCCCCTGATCCCGTGGCGCATCTGACTGATCCACGTGCTGAGAGGGGCTTGCTCCCTGCTCCGCTGCTGTGCGAACCATCCACGCGCTGTGGGCCCCTCAGTTCGCAGCGGGATAACCACTCTGAGCACGGAGGCCACCCAGGTCCACGTTCGGGGACGCGCTCCACATGCCGGGCGCTGGGCTCCACTCCCCGTGGATCACCCAACCGAACCCTCACACACCTGCCGGGCGGGGGCTGGGCCTGGGCCCGGCCTGGGCTGCCGGGTTCCGGGAGAGGTGACGGGATCTCTGGATCCATCACACATGTGGACAGAGACCTTTAACGGCGACGCAGTGACATCCAGCGAGCGTCTCCTGCCGGTAAAAGGCTGGTGATCGATGAGGATCCCGGAGAGGAAGTTTCACGTCCCTCCTCTTTCCACTGCCCGTCCGTCCTAAGGTTTATGGGGGTAATAAAAGTCTCCTGGAATCTTTGACTTCGTACAGAACCATAAATTTACAGATAAAAGATGGGCCATCCCGCAGGTCCCCCAGCTAACTCATTTATTTTATGTTTCTAAATACTCAGTTAATGCCCGCATTGTAAGCAGCAGCTCGGTGAGCACGGGGCTCTGCTTCCTGAGCCGGAAGGTAAAGGCCAGGCCTCCGCAGTGGGAATTCGCGGGGGACATCAGCGGACAGCACGTTCCGGGGACGGTCTGTGTGCTCCCTGCGCCGGCCACGGGTCTGCACCTCTGTCTCCTCGCCAGCAAATGGCGCTGAGAAAACTGGCTCTCCGCACGGTGCCGGGCCTTGCCGGGAACGCAGACGGAGGAGGATGGAGCTGTTTCTCAGCCGGTTGGTTATTTATCCCCAGAAGGTGAGCCGGTTCCACGTGGGAGACGGTGATGCATGGGTTCCCGTGAAACCCCATTCTTCTTCTTCGTGATTTGTGGCGGCTCCTGTGCATAATTTTTAAATCGGCCTCGAAATACATCACATTGCCTTTCCGAGGGGAGAGGGAACGCCTCGCTGCCAGAGGGGGCCGGGGATGGAGCCTGCGCCCCGCCGAGTCTCCGCTCGGTGTGGGATGTCCGGTCCTCGGGTCGCAGCCCTGCATCAGGGAAGATGTCAGTGGTGGGAGACACCGAGTGTGCAGTAACTGGCACTTCGGTGCCGCCTGGCACTCAGTCTGCGAATCTAAGACCGTTCTAGAGTTCAACGCTTACTTTCAGAAAACACAAAACCTGGCTGGGTAAAGGCGAACAGAGAGCCAGCAGCACTGGGGGACTAGCGGGAGTCTGTATTCCGTGTAATTAAATTCCCAGGAGAAGGAGAGAGGGAGAACGGCGCAGGGAGCAATGATAAGAAAGGGACGTGATAAATGCCAAGCGTGAGACATTCGAGGAAACCCATCACTAGGCACCTCCCAGTCACACATGGAAATGTAGACGCAGGAAAAATCTAAGCAGCAGCGAGGGAAAAGTGCTGACTTCTCCCCAAAACAAAGCGGCAGAGGACGCCGAGACAACACCCGGAGCGCTAGAATTTCACCCGCCAAATCTGAAGTCCACATGCAGCAAAAAAAATAAAAATGAAGGTGGATTAAAGACATTTTTGAAACAAAAGTGGCGAGAATGTGCAACCAATCGAGCGGAGGAACAGGAAATGCGGAAGGAAGGCCTCGGCCTAGCCGGAACTGGGGCAGATGGGATGTGGGCCTGCGGGTGCAACGTGGGGCAGATGGGAAAAGGGCAAAAGCCTTTCTCCTTTCTCAGGCCTTTGGAAGCCAGGTGGCTGTTTGGCCCCCTCCCTCCCATATCCTGCAGGTACAATCCACTGAGAACAAATGCGGCGTGGAACGTTTGTGCATGACTGGGGCGACCTTGATACTGATGCCGGCTCGGCCCCCCTGGAACTCTCCCTCAGGCATCAGGGCCATGTTCCACCCCTTAGCTACTGTCGTGTTCTTTCGGATGCGGAACTGAAATGTTAAGAACATGCCTTACCCGGGACCACGATCCGCCTCTCTGTCCTTCCTTCCTTCCTACCACCCTCAGCTGCCACCTCCAGAGAGAGCCCTGGAAAAAAGTGAGAAAACCCCAATCTGATCAGCGGGTCTCCCATGGGTGTCCGCAGCAGAGTCCATCGCACCCTTCCCGGGCCTGGCCTGCATCTGGGCTCCCTCAGGGCTCCCTCCAGGCTCCCACGTTCCCCACAGATCCCCACGAGCCCACAGATGGCAGCTCCTGTGGACAGATACCCCCCCACGGTGCTGGTACCCGGCCCCAGGGATTCCCACAGAACTTGCCGCCAGGCCCATACCCCATAAGCCTATAGGTACAATCTCCAGGGAACAGATGAAGCGCGGACACTCAGAGTTAACCAGGAGGAGCCTGATACCGCTGCCAGGCTCCTGAAACTCTGCCTTGGGCATAGAGATAAAACCTCATCCCTTACCAGTTGCCCCAGCGCTACAGAGGATGGCAGCAATATAAAAATGGCCACAAGGTGGCAAGTGACAATCGGGGTGAAAGTCAGAGAGATGGGTCTGAAGGGTGGGGCATGGCAGAGAGAGTACCCTTCCCTCCAAGATCCCCAACTTCGTATTGTTCACCTCCAAGCATCTCTTATCCAGCTCTGAGCGGTGGAAAGCGGTCAGCACAGCCCAGGGTGTTCACTGGGGATGGGGACCTCCTGGCCAGCAAGGTGTGACCCTGGCCGCAGATGGGACATTTGGAAATATTTGTCCAGGAAGGTGCAGAAAGGAGGACAGACTTCCCACATGACTTCCCAGTGGCTCAGGGAATATGCAAACTCCCCAGGCACATGGGTGCAGGGTCCTGCTTGCCTTTCAATGTGCACAAATCCATGCACCAGGCCACTAGTATCTTATATAATAAAAGGCTAATATGCAAATTGACCAAACGGCAGAATGATTGGATGCTATGACTTGCACTAGCCACCAGGGGGCAAACACTCAATGCAGGAGTTGCCCCCAATGGTCAGTGCACTCTTGCAGGGGAACGCCGCTCAGCCAGAAGCCGGGCTCACGGCTGACAAGTGCAGTGGCGGTGGCAGGAGCCTCCCTGCCTTCATGACACCCCCTGAGGAGTCCCAGGCTGCGAGAGGGCACAGGCTGGGCTGAGGGACTCTTCCCCCTCCCTCCGCCCCGTCCCAGTGCACGAATGTCGTTTGAGTTTGAGAGGCAGGTGCACTGAGACTCTAGTATAATATAATATGACTGATAAGATGTGACATAATGTAGCATAAAAAATTGAATAAGATTCTTAAAAACTACACTCAGGGTCTGGCTCTTCTGAATCTCTGTCAAATCTAAGACTCTGTCTCCGAAGTCCCAGATAATAGCACTTCTGTTTCATCAGCAGCCTTGGCAATACATGCCTCCTTAAAATAATCAAATAATTACAAGTCGTCGGCCCTGGGCTGATGGTTGTTCAGCTCTGCCAAGCCGCCTAATTGTGGCTTCTGTTGAGGGACTTCCCCCTCCCCACAAACATCCCTCCGCACTCTGGGGATTGAAAAAGCAAGTGTCTGTGTCAGGTTTGCCTTCAAGCTCCTGCCCCCACTTTGCAAGGTCAGGGAGCACACCATGCCTGTGACTGCCATCGCCTGCAGCGATTGTCAGATACCACTGATTGTCAGCACTCCTCAGTCTCAAAGAACTTAAGGTGGAGAGAAAAAGCTCAGAACCAATAACATACTGGAGCATTTTATAAATCAAATGAGCTTTAACGCTACAAGGAGATGGCTGTGAGACGGGTACTAGATGTATCAGGGTGATCAGGACAATTGGGACTGTCCCACTCCAGGGGTGTGCCAGCCACCCCCACCCAGTGTCTGTAGGAGCAGCTGAGCTTGCCCTGGCCCTTCTCTGTACCCACAACCCTCTGTTGACCGGTGTCCAGGCCTGTGCCCCCTCCAGGCCCATCCTGATGGGATGAGGGACTTTACTGACACCCTCCCCCCCCCCCCCCCCCGTGCTGGGAAACCCACACCTCAGAGTCTACCTCCCCCTCCCCCAGCACTGTCCCTCTCCTAGCCACCTCCAAGCTCCTGGCTGGACGGGACTGACCGCCCTGTGGTCTGTGCTGCAGCCTCCCCGCCCCTCCCTGCTGTGAGCTGAGCTCTTCCAATCAGTCATCTAAATGCCTCTCAGCTCTTCTCTTAAAGGACCTGCCTCAAAAATTCAAATTTCTCCAAACAGCAGCACCTGGCCCAACGGGCCCTGCCAGGCCTGTCACCAGCATTCCCACCATTTCCCCAGGCACCTTGCCAGGGCCCAGATCTACATCCCACAACCTACATTTCCATTTGTGGTCCACACATCCATGGCAGAAAGCACACTTCTTTGTTGGTACAGGGCTGTACATCCAGTGTCCAGACCTCCATTCCAGGGCTGTCCTCCATCTACACCTCTCATCCCACCACAGCTGTGCCCTCTGGTGCACCTCCATCTAACTACTCAGCCCCGCTCTGCCTCAGCTGTCCTCCATTTATCCGACTCACCCCAGCACAACTCCTCCCACAGCTTTCCTCCTCTAGACCAGTGTCAGCAAACTGCGGCTCACGGGCCACATGCGGCTCTTTGGCCCCTTGAGTGTGGCTCGGCATTAGAACCACTTCTTCAAAATAGACTCTCCCTGGGCCGAATACGAACTTCTGCACATGGGCCACCAAGTTTCATTCGCACTGTACATATGGTATTTTGTGGAAGCGCCATTCTCAGGGGCCAAAGAGCCGCATGTGGCTTGAGAGCCATGGTTTGCCAGCCACTGATCTAGACCACTCAGCCTAGCCCAGCTCTGCCCTCAGCTGTCCTCCATCTCAACCACTCTTGAAGCCTCAGTGCCATCACAGAGACACGCCCACAGCCTGCTCGCACTCTTCCTCATCTGTCCCAGGGAACAGCTCCTCTGCCCTGTGAGGTGCACTGTGACTCTGCTGGCACCATGACCCTGGTCTGTTTACCCTACAGTCTGAACAGGGCCATCCCAGAGGCCTCCCGTCAGCCCCTAGATGGCATTTATCAAGAGCCAAGGGGAGAGCAAGCCTGTCCCTGAGACTCCCCTAACCAGTCCAGCCGAGCCACTTCTTCCTGGGACTTGCCTGTGTGAGAATAAACGAGTCATCTTCTCTGTCAGAGGACAGTTTAGACAGCCACATGGCTTGCGGCTCCCCTGGGGGCCGCCATCTTGAAACGGCAAAGGCCAACCCCTCCCTTTGAAGTAGCCAATTGCGAAAGACTGTGCCCCTGAGCTCCAATCAACAGTGAGGGGCAGGTCACATGCGTAAGAATTAAAAACCTGAGCAGACCACCTGCTCGGAGTGCACATACTTCCAGACCGTGTGTGTGCATCCTTCTACCTAAAAGTAAGGATACTTGCCTTGCTGCCTGGCTCCAGAGTACGTTTTGGTTTTCCTAGGACCCCTGAGTTTGGGGGCTTGCCTTATTCTTACACCTGCACAGGCCCACAGCATAGGATGGTGGAGCTAAGAACTGTGGGTGGCTTGCTCCCCGCCTCGGAGGGCCCAGAGTTCTGGCCTGGCCAATGGGCTCCCCATCAGAGGGATTATCTTCCAGGCCATGTCCTACCACCATCACCTGGTGGCCATGGCTGAGAACCAGGTAGCGACGATTCCATTCCCAAATCCCAGCCTCGGCGATGAAACTGTTCACTTCCCACACATGTTCCCATAACGAGCAACAGAGGAAATGTGCTGGTCCAAGCAGAATTCCCAAGAAACCTACACCGTTATATCACCAAGACGTCGGAAACACTGGCCAACGTCCACTCTTGAGGAATAATATTGATGTGCTGACGCCCCTCAAAATGCAGCCTTTGTGTCTGACACTCTGACCGTGGCTTTGCTCTGGGGCCTCAGTCTCAGCTGGTCATTGCCTAGACCAGCCTGGGCCTCGGTCTCAGCCGGTCATTGCCTAGACCAGCCTGGGCCGGCGTGCGAGGCTGGCCAGGGAGCCGAAGCACCGACGGTGTATCTGCCTCCAGCGGGGGATGGTCAGGACAGCGTCACCTCTGACGATCTGATCCACGGAAACCCACCTCACAGGCAGGGCTTTAAGAAGCAATGGTTTAAATGAAGTTGATCTTTTTATTGCAAAAATACATCACAATACGCTCTAAGGTTGAATTTCAGCTCAGTAACCGCAAACATGATTCAAATGATTCATGGGGATGTTAATGGCCAACACTGTTGTCTTCACATAACCTAATAAGAAGCTCATTAATGGTGGGGGAGATGCCGGCTGGGGTGCGCCCACACAGTGACGTGTTCATTCACTGGGATGAAGCTAGTCGGGTTCTGTCAGACTCTGTGTTGTTCTAAATCCGACACCATTGGCATTTTCCCCATATCCTGGCTTCCCACCTGGTTCTTTCACAACCTGTAACCCGGCTCAGAAATGCACCTGCAACACGAGCCCAGGCCCTGTCTCACCCGGGCAGGTAGACAGCCCTTTGCCCTTCTTACTTTAGAGCAAGCACCGCTTCCTGCCCTGGGGGTGTCCAGCAGGAACTCCTACCAACCAGGCAGTGCAGGCCACAGGCGGGAGTGAGAGGGCAGGGGGCACACGGAAAGTCCAGTTCCTGCCTCGGTGAGAGGAGGGACATGGGACTGGAGGAAGCCAGCATGTCTATGGGCCTGGTTTTCCTGCTCATGAGTGATTTGCTTGTGGCTCAGACCAGTGCCTCTCAGAGGGAGGGCTGGTTCAGTCATCTACATGGAGCTGATGCAGCACCTGGCCTGTCACCAGGTTGCTAGGAAACGCCAAGGACATAAGATGCTCCTGCACGGGTGCCCAGGAGCCGGGGCGGATGATGTTTGCTTCACTGGGGGCAGCACCCCATGTCCAGCCTCCTCTCCATGCAGACCTGCCCGGGGCTGCCCCACGTTGGCCCCGTTAGCTGTTTTGCACGACACTAATGTCCACACCTGCCCACTGAGTGCCAGGGCTGAACTGCACCAGCCCCTGCGGATCTGAGGCATCCTTTGTCCCTCGAGAAACCAAACCAAGTTCCCCGCACGTGTCTATTCCCCTCGGGGACGGACACCTGGAGAAGCCAGCGACTACCAAACGCCTCCGGTGATAAATTAACTTAACCTCCACAAAGCTGTAAAACGACGCACAGCCAAATGGTAAGCTAATTACATCAAACGAGTCCTGTTTGTAAAGAGGCAGAAATATATGCACATGACAACATACAATAGATATCTGGGAATGAACATAATGGATTGTCTCAAGTTAAATGAACGAATGCTGTTTCTCTCCAGTGGTTACGACGATGGAGCATTCTCGCTCACTTAATGGCTTTGCAACATTCGTAGCAATCCTACCCTCCTGCCCCTTCAGCAGCCTCCCATTCGAAGGTGCCCTAGAAGCCGAGCCCTCCCTCTGCAGGTGAGGAGGGAGGGGACCGTCCGCGTGGGCAGCATCTGTCCTGAAAGAGGGCCGTTCGGTAAACGAGAAGCACCTCAAAGCAAAATGGAGCAACCTGAGGACAGAGGGCCAGACGCAGAGTCACGGGACCTGGCACTGATGAAGTAGGTCCTCACTTGGCGTCGTCCATTCGTTCTTGGAGCTGTGGGAGACGCCGTACAGCAAAGCCAATTTAACTCCAGGCTGACGGGCATAAACCAGGGTCAGGCTGATACTACGCACTCATACACATTATAACTACACAAAGTTGAAGGAAACGATGCTGTCTGAGGACCTGCTGTACCAGGGACCTGGGTTGTCCTAACAACGAGGGCAGGCGGAACACATCTATTTTCGTAGCTGGGGTATTTATTTATCAGACAAAATACGATGCTCAGAGGCCGGCAATCTTGAATGGGGCGCTTCCACTCTCAGGAATGCCTCCTGCGCAGACAGGTACATGCAGGCACAGTGAGGAGAAACTCCTCCGGCTGCTCTGCGCCTATGATGCTCGCAGTGTGCCTGACGCGGAGAAGAACGTGTTGTTAGTGCAGCCAGTGGGCCGGGACACACGGGGACACACGCTTCTAGGGCCACAGGAGAGAATGTGTGGCTTCCAAGCCTGTGTGCTTTCAAAACCGAAATGCTTTCAGAGTCTTCCCTGCTTGAGAGAAGATCTCGCCACTCCCTCTGACAAACAGGGAAGGTGGGGAGGCTGAAGGCAGCCCATGGAATAATGCTGAAAACCGAAGAATCACACATGAGAGCCGTTTAGAGGGAAGGAGAAAAAGAGAAGGAGCAATTGCATCCCAAGTCCTTAGGATGCACACGCTTGCCCCCCACCCCCGATCCTCTGCCAGTGAGCTCCTCAAAAAGCCACTTAGGACAAGGAGTGGGGGATGTGCTCTGAGCGGCAGGTCAATGTTGATGCTGCAGTGTCCAGGGTGCTTGCAGAGATCCTGGCGAGGTCGTACCTGCTGGCCACGTGCACACACATGTAACAGGACCAGAAGGTAAGGAGAGGCTGTTTGCCTGGTGCTGAGGGGCCGGGGGAAGGGCAGGTGACATGGCATGTTCCACCCGGGCGGCATCAAAGAACTGTTGCCTGGGACCTAAATCCCACACATGCCAGCCCGGCCTGTGGGCAGTGTGGCTGGGACGAAACTGTGCCAGGGCTGGGCATTACATGTGGTTTGCTGAGGAAGAGCATCGCACTGACTACTCACCTGTAGCCACAGGCAAGAGGTGGACAGACAGAGCCCTCTCTGCGGCCGTGGACACCTCCCCAGAAGCACGGTGCCCGCCAGAGGCCCGCTGGATGGACTAAACGTTGCTGGTTTCCTCCCGTTTGTCGCCGTTGAAGGAGCTGATGGCATGCCAGGAGAGCCGCTCCCTGGCAGCTCGGTGTTAGTGGCTGTCTCGTGAGGAATTCCCAGCAGAAATAAAAGTAGAAAACTTGCAAACTTGCAGACGTGGCATTCAAAGATGCAAACTGTGACTCACGCACTTGGAACTAATAAGCCCGCAATAAGCATGGTCCCGGAGCCGACAGAACTGACACGGGCATGTCACAAAGCATAAAGCGTCTCCTTCCGAGCCCTGCTGACATTTCCCATAAAACACAATCCTCCCTCACAATGCAGGCGTCAATCAAACTGCCGCCTGACACATCCTCCGCATGAAATCTCTCCTTTTTCTGTGGGAAAAAAAAAAAAATCAAAGGAAACAGAAGTCCCCAGAAATGCCAATTATTCTAAATACTAGAAGCCCAGTGTGTGAAATCTCAGGGCCCCGCGCACTCACATGTGCCCAAAGCCTCCTGATGACCAGTCTTTGGTCGTTCCGCCGTGATGGCGTCACGACCAAGGGGTTTTTATAACAGAGATATGTGATAACTGAAATCTGAGCTCTAGTCCCGGTCATGGGCAGCCCACTGTCTCGGGAGCTCTTCCCCCGAATGCCCGCAGGAATCGCAGCCACAACACATGAAAAACAGTCATCTGCCGCCAACTGCATGAGCCCAGACCTCCCCTCTGAAGCGTCTCCACCTCCCACGGCCTTGACCTGCTCCTGACCTGGATGGTCACAGCCTCCCAGGGTGGCCACGGGCAAACTGTTCCTGTAAGTCCTGCCCACTTCCAGTCACTCACCCCTGCCTCTCCTGGAGGTGGCACCCCGGGTGTGTCTTCCCCAACCAAGCCACCCCCTCTGTACCCATCCAAGGTGACGCTCGGAACCCCTCGAGTTTCTGAGACGTCATCGCCCTCATTCACGACTGTGCCCAAGCCCTGTTGTGTGCACACAGTAGGTGCTTAATAGATGCCCAGTGCCTGGTGCGGTTAGAAGGCCCTCTGGGCTCAGTGCATCCCGTCTTCGGTCACCCTTAGAATTCCAGAGTCTGCGGGAAGCTGCCAGAGAGGCCCTCCCCGCCTGGCGGGCCCAGTGTAAGACCCCAAATGCCAAGTCAGAATGTGCCCACCAGCAGGAGTGAGGCCAAATTCAAGGACTCTAGGATCGGTTCGGATTCTTGTTTAATCTAAATTGTCCATCTCTCTTCTATTTCTCCAGACTTTCGGTTACAAGATGACCAAAAATTTAAACTCCCTGGCAAGGTTACTCAGAGGTCCCTGTAAGACACAGAAACTTTAAAATCATCATGAATTACATTAATCGCCTGGTGCAATGGTAGATAAGGCAGATCTAATGACTGCAACTCCATGGCATCTTAGTTTAGGCACATGTGTCAAACACAAGGCCGGCGGGCCAAATCCGTCCCGCCAGGCCTTGCAATGTGGCCCGCACCGCGCCGTCATCACTGCACTCCGCTGCGTTTCCATCACAATGACAGTTTATGACTGTTCAGTAAACCATTCGGCCCGCGATTTAGGCTGGATTTTAGATTTTGGCCCCTTCTCTGATTGAGTTCGACACCCCTAGTTTAGAGCATGGGCCGCAAACA